TTTAAAGATGAAGATTTCAATTCTGACAGTTTTTCAACTTTTTTCATTGACATCCTCCATCTTTGTAATTTTTGTTACTAAGACGTAAGAAACACTGCTAAATTCAGTGCAAACTCAAAGTGACTGCACAAAACTACAGCTTGATGCTGGGCCAGTAATATTCCCTTTATGCCTTTCTTTACCAGAAAAAGAGATAACTTCCAAATTACCTATAATCCAAAAATTGCAAACTTTTCAATTGAAAAGTGCGCACATGAAAAAGAGGGTGTTTTGAGAGTACCTAGGACCCAAAACCCGGAAAATAGTTATGAAAAACGGTTGCCCATTGCCCAGTTGCCATACTTATTTCCACATTGTAAGGGTGTGTATGTTGAATAAAAGTTGTTCAGCATGAAACTGTCTTTCAGAATATGTACATATAATGTGGCTTTTTATTATTTTTGTCCGGGTAAAATCGTAATTCCAACACACTAGTATTTCAAACGCACACTCAAGAACCCTGTTTCTAACGATACTGACTTGTCGTAGATTGGGGATAGAGCGAGGTTCAATTTTGAGTCTAACAGGGATTTTCTTGTGCTTTTACATTCTTTTTTATAAGAACCAGTAAATTTAAGTTCAGGCTGACTGTTCTTAATTTTTCCATAATCTGAGGCTGTTTTGTTCTTAATTTGTTCTTTAATTAATAGGGTGTAAGCAGTGTGATTGCTAGCTTTTCGCTCTAGGGAAGTGTTCAGGTCTCATTTGCCAACAAATGGAGTGAGAAAACCTTCATTTGCTAACAAGTTTGAATATTCACCGAAAAAGCACCCACACATGGCTAAAAATCCTCGTTTTTGAGATAAGCGTTGTTCAAAATTGCATTTTAAAGTAGCTCAGCCTTAGCTTGTTCTTAATTTGTTTTTAACTCTTGACCAATTTTGAGGCTCGTGTTCTTATGAAAACATTTTTAAAAAAGATTATAACCATTGCCATAATTTCATCTTTGATTCAATTTAGTGGTTAATTGACTTGTGGAAACATGGTAAAATACCTGCTGTCTGTAGCTGCATGTGTGTCTCTTTCAATTCTTTGAAAATTTCTCGTCAATTTACCTTTCCTTTTGCTTAACCTTCCAGAGCTCAAATGCTGGAGGGTCTCCTACATTCTCTTATAGACTTCCTCCTCCTATTTTATTATTAACGCTCTTTATATCTAGATTTTATCGCATGCTTAGCCGTAGCTGTCAGCGACGAGCGCATATAATTTCCATCTGTTGTTCCTATGGATTGGCCTCAATCTACTGACCCAGCTTAACGATAACTAATGAGACTAATTGTTATGACAATAATAATACTTATCTAGTAACTTACTAAGTAACAATGTATATAGAAACGTTTATGCGATAATGGGTCAAACTTAAAATGAGAAAATTAGCCTACTGCACACGTCACTAGTTCCAAGGGGAAGGCTAAGGCCTCAAAAATTGGAAGAAATAAGACTTTGTTTAAAAGGAAAAAAATGACAAATAAAGAAACAACAACTAATAACCGTTCCACTCACGGATCACGAAAGCGAGGGTTGAGTGGGGGGGGGGGTAGTTTAGCCTCCCCCATTTTATCAAAGAGAGGTCAGATAAGTATTTAATGCTTCATAGTTCACATTTCATATCTCTTCGTTCTTATTTCAAATTTTGGATTTTTGCCCTTCAGCCGTAGCTGTTTTTCAAGAGGCCCTTCAGATAAAAAATATGTTTGTATATTTGCTTGTATACGTATAAAATTAGAGTACTAGGATATAGGTGAACCATACTATAAAGCCTATTAATAAGGATACTTTATTTAGATGAAAAGTTAAGGCATCGACAAATCTTTTTAAAGCAATTTAGGGAGGATGCTGTCTTGCATTAAGTAGGAAGGCTATATTTTTAATATGCTTTTTTATCCAAGATAATGCTTTCTATAAAACTATAGGCAAGGGCTTCCACAACAAAACAACCTTTTTAAGTTTAGACTTGGCAAGAAAATGGGCACTTTCATCCACTTAAGTAACTAACTAATACTTACAAGCTAATATTGCAAAACTCCCTCTAAAACTTTTTATCATTCAAAAACTATTGAATATAATTCCGTTTACCTTCAACTGGTTATTGGAGTCCATCAATTTTCTTGGTGTAAAAAGCCTTTGAAGAAACATAACCTTTTCATTACACCTTAGTCTCTAACTCCTAACAGCGTTCTCGTTAATATCCAACAACAAACGACTCTCAAAATGCAAGCAGTGTGTAGCTATTGAAGTAGTTTATTGACTAAAACTGAATTACCTTTCTATTATTGCTTAAACAAACACGGGAGTAGGTTAATTATTCTTCTTAATTATCTTTTGAGCGATATTGGATCACCAAAATAATATTTTGTCGCGAAAGTAATTCAGTCCCAATCGTTCGAGTTTCAGTAATAATGATAGATAGTTTTTAAAATGATTAATCCATTGAAACCGGCGAATAGAAATCGAAAACTGGATATTGGAAACGTGTGTTTGGGATCGTTATATCTGGTGAAATGGCAAGACGTGAAACACACGCAAGCTGAAGGCATTGAGACACATTTATGACAGACACCCGGTTCATTGCTTTCAATTGCTTGCCAGTTACCAGGGCCTCTGACGAAGCGAGGCCGGGGAGCCTTGGCCCCCTACTTTTTTGCAAAACAATAGAGCCTTTTTCCCAAATCTTTGGCTATGGGTGTTAAAGTTTTCCTTGCCTCCCCTCCCCACTTTCCAACCTGTGTCGAAGCTCATGGTTATCAGTTTACTTCTGACAGGAATTTTTATGTCTTTGCGTCGTGAAGACATGGGCGTCAATATAGCATGGCAGCCCTACTGTCTTCGATTTTCGATTAAAAGTTATGGTAAATAAGTTCAATTTAGAAGCTATTTAGTAGAGACCTACCATCAGCATAAAGGACTTTCTGCGGCTGAGTCTCTTTGGAGAAGGGTGCATACGTAATAGGAAACTTAGAATTTGCCAAGAATGAAAGTTTCTAAATTTTATACGTACACTCTAAGTCTTCAAAGTCTCTGAAATTCTGCTGTTAGCAACTAACAGGAGTAAATCAGAGAGAAAGCTGTAAAGCAATGAGTTTTAATCCTAATTATAGCATATTCGATACAAATTTTTAATGATTTATTCGTTAACGAAGTTGTTAATTTTGCGATAGTACAATACCAGTGTCATTCCTTCTTAAAACATCTAAATTAGAAAATCTTCTTAACATTTTGAGTCTGTACTGAGAGATTCTCGGCTGCGAATAGCAGCCTCGGTATTTCGTTGGGTACAAAATGTTTTGTTTGAAGAATGACTTTGCAGGTTGTGTTTCGAAAATGAAGAACGAAGGGTTTGAAGTTTTATCTCGTGATCCATGAACACTTCAAAACTGAGTGACCACTTCGGTCGAAATCAAACCGGAGTCATCCTAACCCTTTTCCTTGTAAGTGATCTTTGTATCTAACCTATTAGTTGTGGTTCCATGCAGTATATTCAATAGGTGTAAAAAAATCCATAGGTTGAAGTAGCCAAAAGGCATGAAAGTCAATCAATACTCACTAAGAAATGGTAGCTATTCAGTTTTCCCTATTACAAGTTTCTTTCAAGTTTGAACACGTTTCTTGAGAAAGGACAACATTCGCCAGATTTTATTACCGATTTCTACCACAAAAGCGAAGTTGAATCTCTGATATTACAACAATAGACAAGGTTCCCTTGGGGGTTTTTATCTCTTTGTATTTTTTAGCAACAGGCTGAAGAGAATCAATAGGCCCGTTGCTCAGAGTGGTGAACGTTCTCTACACTACACTCATGGTTAGCATCGTTCTAGAGAGAAGAACATAGTAATGCGTAATTTCTCGAAAAAACTATTGCAAAAAGGGTGAAAATAGAAAGAACGATAAAGTGTTGAAATTGTTCATAAAACACCTTGGTACGTTGGCCGTAACCACGACCGACATGGTTGATCAGTTACTTATAGTTGACTAGTTGTTACTATGAATTTTCTGTTAATCTTTTTCGTCATCAGTTTCGGATTATGGATTCAGCCAACATAGAAACCTAGAAACAGACATTCAGGCTTATTCAGAAAGTGTTTCGAGGATTTCATTCTCTCCATAGAAAATTTATACAGCGCCACAGTCTTAAAAAGAAACCGGCTAATACAACATGTACTTGGCATCGTTTGAGATAACACAAACAAAGTCAATAGACATTGCTGAATACTAAGGAAACGTATTAGAAAAGTAGTGTATTTGGAGTGAGGCTGTTCAGTAGGTGTTCATATAAGGTTTACACAGCCTACAGCTGATGATGCACCTGTTTCTAGTGGGTCCAAATTGTCTGTTTTACTTCTTCTGGTTCAGACTACCTATTTGTTATTATTTATTGTCTTATTTGAATCTCTGCTAAATTTGGGCCTAAAAAAGCTTTGTATTTTCAAAACGGGCAATTTTTGAACACGAGCTACCAAACATTTGTTAAAATGATACAGGAAACACAATGACGGTGCTTGGTTCAGTACTGAAAGTTTCTAGGAATGTTTTCCGCACCATGATAAAATTCACAGCATTTCAACTGAGGCAACTACCTTATTTCAAAGAAAAGATAAGTTTGAGAGTGTAGTCGCCTTGCTTGCAGTCAGTCAAGAAAATACCTAAGAATTATAATCTACGAGAGCTCAACTGCTAAGCAACACAAGGGTGATAGGATTCATGAACCTCTCGTTTCAATTCTATGAACAACAGGTTTGATAGCGTCCTCCTTGATATGACTTAAACAAAACCTCAACATTTAGTGTTTATACAGTTCATAAATAAAACGCTGTTTTGAAAGATTGCCACACTCGTTGAGCCATGAAGTCGGACCCTTTTCGTGCGAACGGAAAGAGATATTTCGACAAAAAAAGTCAAAGTTAATTCAGATCACGGTCTTACTGTATACAAGTGTAGCAAAGGAAAATGCACGTGGTTCATACCTTCTCCTCTTGTCCTAAATCACTGTTGCTTTCTTTGCAGGCAGCATAAATATTGATGTTACAAGGATAAGGGGTTTCCATACGCATGACAACGAAACCATGAATAACAAAAGTTATTGATTTCACACAAATGAAATAAAATGCAGCGATGTCTGTCTCTTGATGCAGCTGCAGAATGTGAGAAGGACATACGCATTGAATGTCGGAAATAAATACTTTTGTTTTTCTTGGTTTAATCTCGTGGAAATAGTTTAAATTTTATGAGGTTTTGGTAACGGTTCGCACACAAAGCCAATGAAATCTCTTTTTCACAAGATCACAATACAGGATATCACTTTCATTGTTACGTGCACAGCAAATAAGCAGGATTCTCAACGAACCTGGTCTTGACATGTTGCAATCTGCCGTCGGTTACTCTCCGACGCTTACTTTAGAAATAAATGAACTTTAAAAGCACGCAGGAATTTATTTGCGTGGAACCTCTTTTAAAATTGAAGTTTGCCCAAAATCTAATGTTGAGAGTTGGGAAACTAGTGACGGGGGAATTCAATTGCAAATAAAGACCTCCATGCTTGTCTTTCCCTAAGCTTAGATTGTTTACTTGTGTCAGAATTCATTTGTTTTTACTCCAATTGTCTCTTTGTCTATGTACTGCTCACCTCACGATCAAAGTCGGAAGCAAACGACAACAGATGACCCCGGCAACACTCATCGTAAGAACAGCCCAAAATATAAGACAAAACAATTATCGACGAATGAACTATTTCTCGATATCTATATTTATATGAAAAACGTAGTACCTAGATGAAGCTTATCGTTAAAGCTATTTAGTTCTTTCGCATAACAAATCATATAATATCGTAATGAAATTATTAACTTACAGAAGAATAGCTATGAAACAATGAAATATAACAGGGGTATGTAAAAATAATACGAGCACGTAACGCTTACGAACAGTTGGAATTTAGAAGATATAACTGTAAATGCATTTGAACCGACAGAAACAGCGATAATGAGGCCAAAAGCTATTTATTCATCATTAGTTTCGCTTTTTTGCAAAGCATATTACATATTGTATCTTTAGGTTGCACATCAAGACCGAAGGGTTGGGAGCGATTAAAAGCCAGGGATAAACTTGGCTCAATTAAGAAACACAGCATTCCATGACAGAAATAAAGCCAGACTGCATTACGAATTCTGAAAGACACAACGTGGGACTATATCACAAGTGGATACAAGTTCTGATTTTACGTTTTTTGTCAAATTTTCTATTTGCTCTTGATAGAACTTACGAGAATACCCTTATCTATGCAGATATCAGTGGTGGGTTGACTTTGGGGGTAGCATCATTGCTGTACCTCTTTAGGGTTCTGTATCTCATTAATCATGATTATGATTATCAAAATAGTTAGAGGTAGTTTATTCCCTTTACAGAAGCCTTTCTAATGTATGCACTAGAGATGCACTAGAAATGGATGCTGGGGGCTGGTTGTTCAGAAGCAGGTTGATTATTTTAATTTATGCCTAAATAATGCCGAATATGCCAAGTAAATGCCAATCCATGACTCCTGGGGAGAGGGGGTGTCAAATCGACTATCCCCTGTCTATCTACCCTTGACACAAGATTAATTGGACCTATCAATGAAACTTGCTGACAGAGAAAACTACAAGCAGAGACTAATATACTGAAGTAATATTAGCGTGCCTAAATGTTGACCCTTTTTTAGTTGGGTGGTAGCCTTTCTTGAAATATACGAGAAAATTCTACTTTTTTGGACATTATCTAAATGAAAAAGTGTGCAAAGAGGAAATGACAAAGCAGGTGTGATATCGCACAAACAGATAATGATTACAATGTTTCGAAGAAAATCTCTACGAAAATGATTTATTATTTCTTTTTTAAAAGTTTACTAGGAACACATTTGATGAAAAGGGTCGTTAATAATCTATCTGCTAATACAGATTCGCAGAAACCGCGATAGATATAAATGTTGTGTAATGTCGTCTTAAACTATAGTGTTGTCAATATTTTATTCTAAGCTATCCGATGCTTAACAACCATTATTTTCTAGGCTAAGCAGTTCATCTTTTACAATGGCGCTTTACGAAATTCAATTCTTTATTGTGAATCATTCAAATAAAATCGTACTCTGACAGTAGAAAAAGCTCCGAGCTCGTAACAATATCATAATAAGGAATTAACATTCCAACTGAGAGCGATTGTTTAGAACAATACTTAAAAATGGAAAACTCATGAAAATTACAACATAGGTGAAGCTGAACAATTAAAATATATACCAGGGATTAAACGATATTGTTTACTTCAAACAAACTGGGTTTTAAAATATAATTAAACTTACAACGATATAAAGATACAATTTTGTAAAAGCAAAGACTTTGATACAAACCTACGAGCAAACAGCTTTGAATAGCATCATATTTTGAAAGAATATCTAAGAAGATTTCTGCTTTAAAGTCTTAAGCCTCGTAAAAACAGCGGACTGCCGCATTTGTTCCATAAGTGCTCTACGAACAGTCGAGGTGAATTTTTGTGTCAGACACAGCGAGGTCGAGGCTTCGAAGACCAAGTTGTAAAACAGCACCACGTGATAGTTTCCAAGCCAATCCAGCTTGGCGTATTCTCCCATCAAATCAAACTTAGTTATACCTGATCAAAATTGAAAGATTAATGAGCGAAGCTTTGCGGTAAAGGTTACGTTCTTAGTTGATCGTCTATGGTGCAAAAACGTAATTCAGTATATATAATCAACAAAAAATAGTTGTTTACGTTGACAGCTGTTGGAAAACCTCACGCACCCGCGCTTGGTCGACTGGAAAGAGTTCTAGGAGGAATATGAGGGGCAAATGACACTTGTTAACTGCTCTATTCTAAACAGCCGTTTGAGCTATCTGAACGTTCGATTTCATTTATTGGGCTAACGCTAGATCCTATCTTTACTATGCACAAGAAAAGATATGCGTAAATTAATCAAAGGAAACTGAGAAAAAAGATGTCAGTCTCCTCGCACAGTTTACAAAATTAAACATGCACTGTTTGTTTGACACTATAAGATGAATTAAGTTCTTAAAATGATAAATTAAGAGACGTATTTATTTTATAAAGAAGAGTTTGAAAGAACTGTGCAAACGCAAGTCAGGTAGTATTCTCGGGGAAAAACATCTTACACATCGATGATTGGGAAGCAACTAGGGAGAGAGTAGTACGAAACCTCGATGTAGGTTCAGTATTGTAGAAAGGCCAAGCCTGAGGATAGACGCTGTGGAGACTGAAATATCCCTACATCTACGGTGAAAACGATTGTAAATGATAGACTCATGTTGTTGTTGGTATTCTATCAAACACTTTTTGAGGCAAACAAACTTGAACTTACCGAGTGTTCTGGCTAAAATTGGTAATGCAGAACTGAGAACCAGAAAAACGATGCAATTGGCGATTAGCTAAAAACAAGATGTACATTTAGATTATAGTTAACTGGATGACATGGCAGGGTTACTAGAGAGAGTAACCAAAATTTGGAAAATCAGGCTTACGTGTTCTGAAAATTATATGTAAAATTTTCAGGGAATCAAGACACTTATGCCTGGCAGAATAAACACAATGAAAAATATGACTGAAGGGACGATTATCTGAAATGACAAACTTCTTGGTTAACAAGAATGTTTTCAAGAATGCTTCTAGTAAAAATACTTCGCACCAAAGACAATCAGAAACTTCGGTCCTTCCAGAGTGTGCTCAACAGTCTTACCCACGCTTTGTCTAATTTAAAATTGTCAAGAGTAGGAACTGAAAGGAGGTGTGGGTTAGTGGCCCACTTTGGGACCAGGTAGCTCATTTGGTAGCTCATTTTGTAGCTCATTTGGTAGCATCAAAACGGGACCAGGTAGCTCATTTGGTAGAGCAACGACAAACACAGCCAATGGTCGCGGGTTCGTGTGCTGTTCTGGTCGTGTCCCCCGTTCACATTCTTTCTTACAATCGGTTTATTATATATATACGACGCGCAAACGTCATTGGGGCTCAAAAGGGCTTGTTTAGGGAGAGCTAGCTAAAATTTTAGGGGTTTAAGCCTAATTATCTTTCTTATTCCCGCCAATCCTGAGGGGAATTTGAAGGAGAGCAGGAGGTCAGTAGTTTGACATTCATTTAAATTAGCGATATAGAATGGTAAAGAACGCAACGAAGGGCAAATCCACTCGAGGGAAAGTCAAAGTGCCCCTGAAGTTTGCGACAAAATACATACAATGCCACGCTAGGTATGCGTAAAATGTGTGTAACGAGTACCAGAGACATTGCATGCAAACATTCAGCTTTGAGCAAGAGAACTATAATTCATTTGATGAAGCAACCGTCTGTAATTTATGCAAAACGTGCATTCATTTTTCACAGAAATATATTGTGCATTTTTGTTTACTAGGTACGAGAGTGAGGAATAATGAACCTGGGCTTTCTCAAGAAACCGAAGAAAAAGATCGGTGTTGCGGGTAAATTAGATTCACACCAACCACTGAAATAGGCAATAGAATTGGTTTTGGCTTTAAATAATTGAAAGCATAGAATTCATTTTCTGAAAAGTGGAAGAAAACTTTTGAAGCAGTTGGTAAAAGAAAGCAAGCTTAAATTCTTATAACATAGAAATGAAATATTGATGTAAAAAACAATTAATAATTTATCAAAATCACTTTAAAGGAAAAAACTTGTTGCTTTTACTCGTGTGCAAAATTAAAAAGAGATAATGTATGAAACATATCAAGGACCAATAATCCACAAGTTCTGGCAAAGCAGAATATGTCTAGGTGTGAAGGCTGTTAATTGGAGAAATTATACTTCAATTAAACATAGAGTAGGCAAGCCCAAGTTAGTAAATCGGTCTGTGGGTAATTTCGTTTGTCGTAAACAAATTTGTGAAAGACCAAACTACAGAATCTATAATTTGGAATTAGGCTTTAAGTGGCCTGAGTAAAAATCGATAAACAGAGGAAAAAAATAAAATAAAAAGGTTCTCGTTGTATTTTTAAGTTAAATCTGAGGCATTTTCAATCTTTTTCAATCTGAGACAACAGAAGTTTATAATTCACAATGGCCTCTTGGAACCGAACTTTTTAAAAGAATCTGACCCAGCGCTAGGCCTCGAATAAACGTTTCTTTCAAAACAAGGAAAATTTGTCGGTGTTTATTCAAGGGCCAGCGTTAATGCAAATGATTACCATTTTGGGAAGTAACGCAATAATTTGGGGAAACTTCAGGATGACTTTAATAAAGCAGGCTAGAGGTCCTTTAATGTGAATAGAAAACGAACTCTAAAATGCTGGACTTACCCGCGTAATGCCAGTTTTCTTTCGCTTTGGACGAAGATGTTGAAATATGGGCATACCATAAAAGCCAACTAGGGAGGCAGCCATTATAAAACTAAAGATTTATTAAGGTTAATTAGTAAAAGACTTCCTCGTGAAATATGAAACTCGAATACATCTCTATCTAAAATTTAAAATTACCAATTTTTCTATATATTCATCTATGATGCCATGAAAATCACTGTTTATCGACCTGTCTTATAGCACTCGATGAAGTAACAGCAGAGCTGTGTGTGCTGTTAAAGTTGCCTTATTGTTGCATTAAGCGTGAAATTGACGCTTACAACCCTACTGCTCTACACACCAAAGGGGATACCTAGCACTCAAATCTATAGATATCAAAACAGCAGCGACAACTTTGCTAGTATTTCTAATCGAAAGTTGCTAATCATTGATTATACAACGAAAGGATACAATATCAAAATGATTTCAATCATTGATCCAAACGACCCGAGGGCTGAGAAAGACACCTTCCCTAGTGCAGCATACTGTAAAAAGAGAGAATTGCATTATGCATGGTAAAACATACGATATTACACGACAATATCACTATTAGGAGACAATTTTCAAAAACTGCAGTCAACGATCAATAACTTAGCTTTGTCGAAAATGTTTCATAACGATAAATGTAAGTAAATTGTACCAGGAAAAAATTAATTAAATGATTAGATAACATTTTCCTGGTAGAATTTACTTACATTCATCGCTATTATAGCATTATATTGTACCGCACGCAATCTAGTATGAACATCTTTTCACCCGGCTTTAAAGCCTTGTAAAGCAACAAAAACACAAGGACATCTCCTGGCAACAGACAATAACATCAGCTAAATCGCGATCTGTTATACGGAGGCTCCAAAATAAAACGGTGCTGGGATGCAGAATGAACTTGCAGACCATAAAACAAATTGGCAGATAATTTTCTTATATGATTATGTCAAAAATCTGTCAATATCTTTACTGTTAAAAGTTTAAAGATGGATAAAAAGGGAAAATCCGATGACTCATTACGTACGTGTGTTTTGAACGGCAATTTTCCATTCATAAACAGCAAACTCAAAGAATTCAGTGCAACCATGCACATACAAGCTGCCTTTAAGGACAAAAAACTTTAATGAAAATGTTAATGAAAAACTATCAGCATAGATTTTGCAAGCAAATCAAACAAAAAAAGAGTTTCTGATTTCATCATAGGGGATTCTTGCGTCTATCTGATAAATATGATCAGATTAATATAAATATGATCAGATTAATATAAATATGATCAATAAGAGAAATTCGAGATTTAGATGTCACTACGTTGGCAGAGAGTCTTTATGAATGAAAAGAAGGAGCCTCCATCACAGCGATAGAAGATTTAATCACCGACTGTGGGGAGTTGAAATATTATGTGGTACTTGACAGACAAATAGAAATTACAGTGATTCTGATACGTCCAGTGTTCAGCTCAACATTCCGTCAATTCTTAGGTTCATTTTGACGAAAAAGATTAAAGATTAGATTTGAGACAGAAGAAAAAAATGTTCAACTTTTAAAATACCGTCCAGACAGGGTAAATTGAGTTTCCAAGGGCTTCCAAATATTTTGATTGAAATTTGAAACAATGGCTCAAAAGCCACAAACCAAGCTACAAAAAAATAACATAGGACATTCTAAGATGATATTGTGAATATTCTTAGCAGTAAACAATATTCAGTGAAAGTTCAACCTACTGTTAGAGCTAAAAGCACCAAAAGAGAAACTGGGTACAGCAGATTTCTTTCCCAAGCTGACGCATCCCGTTCGCGCTCTGTAAAATCAATTGAAACCCAGTTGATATATGATGCCTTAGCTATAGGCCTCAATAAGAAAAAAGAAATGTTTGCTTCAAAATACAGATATTTGTCGAGACAAGTTAAATTTGTTACATAAGAAATACTACTCTAATGCATGATCTAAATAAGACGCAATGTCACTCTATGTTAAGCTATCAGCTAAGAAAAGGCCATGACAAAAAATTTCAAGCAGCAAATTTAAATTTTTAAGATATACCAGATTAATGACCTCAATGGTCGGACTTTGCATCTGAGAGCTTTAATAAGTGCCATACACTAAAATTATATGATTCGATACCTAATTCTCGCTGTTCTTCCATTAGTTGAAAGATCTTTTTAGCTTCTGGGTCTGTATCTCTACTTGAAAAAGTTCCATTCATTCCATTTTCAAATGGTCCTGTATAAAACCGCTTGCTTGGATCTGCTAAAAAGCAAAAGTTAATTTGAAGAAACTATACTTATCTTACTAATATTCTTGCATCACTAAGCTTTGAACAACAATGCAAACACATTGATATGTTTTTGCTTTCTTCTAAGAACTATTGTAACTTCAACTAAGTTATCATTCGATCAATCAGAAAACAGCAAATTAAATTCTATCTGTTTCTTGGAAAGGAAACCACCATTCTTAAACCCACTGAAATCCCTCTTATTTTTTTCTTTATTCGAACTTTTGTAGTAAGATTAAAATAACCGATGTAGACTTAAATAATTTTGTCCCTATCCAATTAAATCTACCACAGAATCAAATAATGCAAAAAGTTATAAAGTTAGACAGCTGTCGAAAAAAACTAGCATTACTAACCTCTATGATTTAATCTCCGTACTAGACTTTCTTTTTGGAGCTCAATTGCATTTATTTCGTCATCAACATCCCTCAAAAACTACAAAGAAATGTAGAAGGAACGTTCATAGGTAACGATTGAACTGTGGATTTTGCTGCCTTTCTCCATCATAACAAACATTTTACACAAGTATACATTCCGTTTAGCCACCTGCACTTTACTACAGCTTTTAATAAAAGAACAATACGGCCGAAACACAGTTTCATCATGAAAAATTTTCTGGTACACGGGAGTAATGGATTCCCTAGTCTTTTGCAGACATGCTATATATTTTAGATCATTAAGCACAGTCTCGAATGCCATGTTTTTATTTTTCTGTGGTATCTTGAATCAGTATAAAAGGCTTCTCAAATTCTTTATACTCGTTATAATATTTAACAGAAGCATTTCACGAGCTGTTCCAGGAGACAGCTTTTCAACACGGTCAATTGTTTCGTAATCATAACCAATGACAGCTAATAATTTCTAAATAATAATGAAACTTGAATAAAACTTTGAATGAAGATTTGCTTTCTTTAATAAATGTATGTAGAAAAACATACAAAATATCTCATTACCTGTGGTTTCACGAGATATTGACCGAGGACGCTAAATAGTCTTGCAAATCCAAGTGGCGTGCACACTAGAAAGTTTATACAAATATTTATAGCCATCAACACACGAGAAAGGAAAATGGTAAATGAGAAAGTATTAATTTACATGGAAAGGGCAGATATTTGTCTGTGCATTATTCAGCCACTGGAAAAGACGTTTTGCTATCTCTAGTAGCAAATGTTGTAAAAATGAATAGTTTTACTTAAAACGTATTTGCTATAGAAATTTAAAAAAGGCATGTAGGGTGCTTATCTTTAAAGAATGTCACGAGAACCTTTGAATATATTCACCATTCAAACTTCTTGAATTAAAAAACGATCACAAAAGGTAAAGCAATTGTGCTACTAATGTTTCTAACACTTATCAGAGTAAAGTAGGGTTTTATACAGAAATTGACTGAACTGATCTAATTCTGGTTATCACCCGGTAAATATTTCAATTTTCTCCTGGCGCAGCGAACAGTTAGCTCTTTGCCAAATATGTGTACAGCTTTACCTTTTTTGAAAGATTTTGAGGATGATTTGATTAAAGCAGTAAAATAAGACCAAACACTCAGATCTTGCTTTTAAAATCATACCAACTTACAAAGTTGAAGTAGCACACCAAACAGTGAGATGCAAGAGTAAATAAATGGTAGATGGGGTAGCCAAGAATCTGAAAAAAATACTTGCAGAATGAGATTTCATGTAAATAAATCAGCATTTAGATTTGTCTTTCAACACAACAATAACTTTGGCATATAATTATTGTACTTTTAAACTATATCATGATATAACAATGAACTCTTATTGACATCTCTGCTCCAATAAGGCAAACCTACACTCCTGGCGAAAAATAGCTGAGACATTTGAACAAAAAAGGAATTTATGTGCTATATCTTCATATTATATGCGCTGGTGACCTAAACCCCCTTCTCCCTGGGGTCAATGTTGGTTAAGTACGGAATAAGTGGGGATTACTACATTGGTTACCAATCCTATCCCAACATTGATTTGAGGGGAAGGGGGCAGGTGATTTGTAAGTAGCTTCTCTTTTTGCAAGTGTCTCAGCATAATTGGCCAAGATTGTAGTTTGCTGATTTAAAAAACACAAAAGAAATCTAAAAGAATGAAATGTAATCAAGAATTTCCATTGAAAAGATTCCTTGGTACACAAAACAACCAACATACCAACATTCAAAGCATTTTCTGTGTCATTTTTGTTGAAAACAATCCCATAAACAACCCAGGCCAAGCTGAAGACTAGGACGCCAAGTAAAGCCAATACAACAAAAGTTTCATATACTCTTGCCTTGACACCCTAAAGTAAAAGATAAATACATTTTCAAACAATCTCATTAAAAACATCAGTGATACTTCTGGTGACACAAATACTACCCTTCACGAAAGGGTAACGGAATCCTGACAGTTTTGGGCCACTGTCAGTGAACTTACAGCAGGTAAAACCTAGTGAACAAAAGTGACAACCACTGTGATCTTCCTCTAGACAAAAATGGCACCCTCATGTGTGCAGAATGAAAAAAATGAGATCAAAATATACCTCACCTTAATTTCTTTTAAACCTTTAGCATCATAAAAACCATGTGGCCACATTACAAAAGTCAAATAAAACGAATGAATTTCATAATTTATCATATAATGAATAACTCAGTTATAAGCTTATTTCCAAACAATATCAAAAATACTTTTTCAGGAAAAAGATCAGTACCTTTTGTGATCCAGCTAGACCCTCAGACTCAGTGAAAAAGTAGGCAAAGGGCATGGCCAGAAACAAAGCAATGTATGTACCAAGAAAAATTTGATTCCAAAGACCTAAAGGAAAAACAAAATGCAATTCCATTACATAGCTTCTAAAGGCTGTTACTTGTTCAGCAAGCAATGCTGCTTTTAAACCAATGAAAAATCTTTCATAGTCAAGCACTTTTCTTAAGATTTTGTGATTAAAAATTTGTTGAATTAATTATACTAGCAAAGAATAGATAACAACAATATAGTAGGGATAAGAACAAATGATTTGAAAAGAATTCTTAAGGGGGGAGTGTCCATTAATCTTAGCAAGAAAACCAGAAGAAGGCAAATAAAAGGAGGGACTATAGGAACATTATTATGTGGCAAGAATTGCAATGGTTCCTATCATATCTTGTGACTTTCCATCGTTGATTTTTGCTTCCATTCTTATTTAACGTGCAGAGAACACGGAGCCAGTGATGAGACAGTGTGTTCCCTTTGTAACTCTGATGTGAACTGAACTGAACTGACTTGACTGATTTACATACAAATTAACATACATATATAGGATGAGTTAGGATGATGTAATGATGATCTAGTAATGGAGAAGGAAAGATCTAGACTTGGGAAGAAATCAGTATGACATAGATGTGTGAATGTGTATACAATGGTGAAGGGAATGTCCTGTGCTAGGTGATGCCGTGAATGACGTAAGTGGATGTCATGGTGATGGATTATCGATGACAAAGTAGGAATATGGCCTATATTACAATATGAAATCGCTACAGGACCACAATCCAAATGTTTATCATTTGATGATCGAAATGAAATAAAAAAGAAAGATTCTAAGTGTATGACACTGAAGAGTAAAAAATGTTCACCTTGTATCAATGAATCATTTAACCACTTGATATAGAAGCTATGAGGATATCGAAGAAGAACTTCATTGCTTATGATGGAGAAAGGTAGCAACAAAACTGCTCCAATTGAAATAGACATAGAAAAGCAACATAGGGCAATCCTGAAAGAAAATTTGCAAAATTAATACACAAGTCAAGAGCAAATGAAAAATATTTCCAAATTCTATTTGATTATGCTTTTTTACTTTCCTTTACGTAATGTTAAAAATCAAACATTATCTTTTGGAAAATATTTCATAAATAAAGGAATTTTGAAAATGTTTGTTATGTTTGCTCTAACAAGCGAGGTGAAAAGTGGAAACAGACAAAAATGGTGCTGCATATAAATGTAAAATTTGCATTGCAATTCTTAGAAAACTTCTCTTAATGAACAACTATCTGCTATTAGAAACACAAAACTCTCTAAAAATTTAACAGCCAGGTGATAAATTGTGTTATAATTACAGAAATAAAGTGACTGCAAGGCATTCTTATACAGTGTGGTAAAGTATATAAGTCTTCAGTCATTAAGCTTATTATTCTCATAACCCAAAAACTATGGTGTTATGCTGAATGAGATTTAATTATGTATGCATCACCTGAAAACAACTAGCTTCATATATAAAACTTTGAGTGCTATTAAATTGCTATTAAGCTACACTAACAAGCACTTCTTAAAACAGCACAGTATTACACATAATTATGAGACTTTCCTTTCTAGAGGCAGATCTGGACTCATATTTTTGTAAACATGAAAGTAAGAGCCATTTATCATAGCATATAGTTAGGTTAGGTAATTTGATGTTAACCAATATATTCCCGTTGATTATCAACAGGCTAAATTCTAAAAAAACCTATTGCCATTTTGAAGAATGCTACAAATGATATATTGTAAGGAAACCATATCACAATTTTTGATAAGGATTTTTAACTGTGGTAGCTAGTGAAATTAAGGCAAGGTGAAATATAGTCTTTATATATAATATATAAAACTGAAAATATAGTCTTTTAGCTAAAAAATTGAGCATAAAAAACTTGCATAGAGGCTTCCCAGCAGATGGGCAGATCTTTTGTCTCTTAGCAAAGTTTTCATATTGATTGTGTCACAGGAAAAAAGCATAAGCTACAATTTTTTTATATAAGAGAGTATGTCACAAAAAAAAAAATTCATCATTTAAAATAACAGGACAGCTTTTGTGAAAGGTGCTTACTGCACTCAGGCTGTTTCCTCTAACACTGGGTTGCAGAATAAGGACAAAAAAGCACCATCTATATGAGGCGTTTTATTTTACAATAACCAGAATTTAAACTTACGAAATTCGATAAACTGTGTCTTCTTCATCATCTAGAAAAAGAGACAATTTAAAAAATTAAACATAGCATCCCTTGATTGTGCAGTACACAAACTTCAAATTTGTTATTCATGTTGACAGATGACAGGAAATATTTGTGTTATACAGAATAATTAAATGTTAAGGTACATTTGATCACCTGATCATATATCATGTTAGCAACTGGCAATGCATTGAAAACTATCCAGGCAGTATAGAAAAATTCCTGCACTAGATTTGAAAAAGTTTAGCCCTGATTAATCAGTGTGAACTCACCATGAGTTCATTTTGTGCTTGGTTGAAAAAACCTACTAAACAGTGGTCCTTCAACAGTTTGCTAGAGTCATCTCTAGATGTAAAACATCAGTAAAACATAGTAGTAAAACATCAAGCTACAGTTTATCTGAGAACATCTGCAACTCACAGTTAATGGTACCTTATGGAATGGCAACAAATGCCATGCTAACAAAAACTTAAAAAGAATACCTCAGGGCTTTCAATGGGGGGCACGCGATAGCGCAGGAGCGTGCAGGCACGCGCCCAAGGTTATCTTTGAGAGCAATTAGTCACGCGCCCAGTGATAAATATTTCTCTTGAAGAGCGTGGGTACCGGATGCTGATAGGTCAATCCACTTAAGAAACTCTTTTTAGAAACGCCCCACTCTTATCATGCGAGTTTTTGGCCTCGCACGTTGATTTCTGGACGTGAAAGCCCTGATACCTCCACAAATTAATGACTGTGATAGTAAAAAGGTTTAAAATTCAAAAAGCTATTCTCACCACATATGCTGTCTCTCCTTTTCTTTAAATATCTTATGATTGCATACGATGTAAAATATAGACATATAAAGACCAGCAAGGAGATCTAGAAAAAAACCTTATTTGTTATTTTTAAACAGTAGACACAGATATTAGAATATAAATTAACCTTTATATGCTTGCAAGGCATTACAAATTGGAAATTATTTCATGGTATCTTTCATAACCAAAAGCAGTTTCCTGGCTGCTAATAATCTAAACATCTTTTTAAAAGTTATGCTTCTACTCAAAAGAATATTTAGTTCAAAACAATTTTTGAAGTGAATGCTGTTATCAGAATCAAAAGATATTTGCTACTTTTGTTTAACAATGGTGCTGAACCATTTCTAATTGATTCTGAGAAAATATGCCATTCAACAGAATATTGTTTGAAATATCTTTAAGACATTCACTCAAGAGATGAATTTTTCTCGAATCAGAAAGAATGTTTTCTTCAAATAAAGTCAAAATATTTGGGATCTGAGTTTTTACCACTCATTATTTGCTATTTGTTGACTCTATAAAAGAAAATTCAAACATCTTGCATACCTTACATGTTATACTCAAGCAGTGGTGGCAACATATGGTCAGCAGACCAGAATCTGGCTCGGAAAGAGAACTTTTGTGGCCCACAAGATGAGCCTTCATCAAATCTGCTCAATATCTTTTGTCACTGGGACTGGGCAAACATTAACAAATGTAGCAAGAACGTATTTTACTGGGCACCGTGACATTTGAGCAGGGGTCACAGTTGTCCCTATTTTGTCATGTCTCAGTTGCTAGTGTGCTAGGGGGGCTTATATTGGATTTAAGCTGGTGTTTATGTATAGTAAATTGAATGGTCTGAGCGGAAAAGTTGATGCTAAATGTTGATTGATGGATAATTCTGTATTCACTTCCTAGGATTATTTCTACAAACCTGAATCACATCCTTTTTAATATTGGTTGGTTTAAAATTGTATCAGTCTTACCTGTGGTTGCAAATTGTCTATGTGAAAGTTGTGTAGTTATAGTGTAATTGATATAAAATGAAAGTTTTTCATTTTTGATATTATCATTTCATTTAGTTTTAAAGATGTGCACTCAGTCAGTATCTTAGTTCTGCATACTTTTTGATCAGTTATGGCCAATCAGTAACATGAGAAATCTAAAAGGGTCTACCAAAAAACTAGAGAGGGATGTATGAAACACTGAAACAATGAAAATTTGGAACCTCAGAACAATATTTTGTGAAATTGAGTCAATAGATCTACTGTTATGGCAATAATGACCCTTCTTTCATAATAATAATTCTAAATCCTTTTGTAAAATGCTATTATTGAGATTTCTGTTCTATTAGTTTCTTGGTTCAAAAGTAATAAGTTGAACCACTGAAGATGTCTTGGGTTTTTTATGATTTCTATCAGAACAGAAAGAAATTCATGACCATTTAGTAGGACATTTGGTGTGTTTTGAATTATTTTTTTATTATGACTTGGATTTTTTATGATTTTTATCGGAACAGAAAGAAATTCATGACCATTTAGTAGGACATTTGGTGTGTTATCATGACTTTTTTAGAGCGAAGAAATTTTTCTTACAGTCTTTATTCTGGATGCATTCTTTTAAAAACTATCTTAAATTTTTAAAGATTCTTCCTTGTTTTAAAAGCATTTCCAAAGAAAAAGAAAACATGCCACAAAATTATTAAAAATAAGGGTAGTTTTAAGAATGAAAAATGACTGACTTGTTATTTCTAATATTCAAATATCAAAATTTCATGGTGGTAAGATTAACAATTCAAAACAGCCAACTTGATGATTGCAGTGTGATGTGGCAGTGTAAGGAATATACCTTTTGACACCTATGTCCATGCACCTTTTGGTCACGGTAAATTTAGGTTAACCACCCGAGGTTAGATACTTTAAGAATAACAGAGGTTACTTTACCGTGCTTTGCCTGACCACCTCGTAAAAGTATTTTTCATGCTTTTCTTCCTCTGACCAATCCATGTGTTCCAATTTTCTTGGGATTTGAAAACCCGTCGACACTTTCAAATTTTTAGGCTAGGCCCAAAACAATTCATGAAATAAAGTTCTTTGACCGGACCAAAAATCATCAGGATAAGAGTTCAAAGGTCTAATCCTAGAACATTTGTGATATTTGATGCCTCCGTGCATTGCAGAACACATCTAGACAGCGTCTGTCGACAACTTGCCAAACGGATAGATCATGCAAATCAACCGCCATTTTAATTCTTAATAAACAATCATTGATCTCGAAATAGGGGGTAACTAATTCCTTTGCAGGGGGGTTAAAAAACAATTGCAATCCACTTTGTTGTGACTCGGTCAATATGAAATGTTAGAAATTACCGCATCTCCAACATTTGATTGCAAATCCGGGCCGCAAACATTTTCCGCATTGCATTACACTGATCTGATTTACTGTTTATCTCAGTTTCCAACGAAAACTTTTCTGCATCATTTTGCAAAGGAAGTTTTTCAACATGAAAGAACTCTTATGAAAAATTCAGTTACTGTCGGGCAATCGTTGATTAAAAATTGTCGAATGAAAACCTTACATTAATTGCAACAAATAAAGTCAAAATTGGGCAGTAGAAGCTGTAAAACGCCTGAAACGGTTACCCAGGGGTATTGTTATCCTCAAAGAAAAATTTTTCCATTTTGTATACATAGGATAGGATGCTGTGCAAAAAACAGCGGGCAGGACATACATTTTAATTTCAATTATTCTTTGGTTGTTTAATGTTTCTAAAATCTTTTAAGCTTAATTTCAGCTTTTCCAATGCAGAGATTTTGCAAAACAGAATAACTAGACAAAACTGGTTAACAATCTATTTTTTCAGTTCCTTATTTCGTGTCATTAATGAACAGGGCAAGTTAACTTCAAACAATGGCTCTTCCTTGAACATTTTGCATGATAAAAAAGGCAGCGCTTCAGAGTAACTAATAGATTTTGCAAGTTCTAATGAATATATTTCAAGAAATTAGATAGGACCTAACAAAAATAATTTTTGCTAAATACACCATAGGCCTAATTACATACATACACATAATACACGTTTTTCTAAAAATGTATCGACCGACATATCTTCAAGAATACACGAATTTTAAAGACTTGACCTACATTCTAGAAATGTTCTGACAGAGTTTCAATGAGATACGACGGGGGTTCATTCTCGTAGAAAATTCTGTATATTGCTATCATCAATGGGAACCTTAAAGATAAAAAAGAAATCGTTATTTTTTCCCCACTTCCTTTAGTTGTCAAAATATCACTTTTAACATTCTTATAATAAATAAAGACACCCTTAACAGAAATAGCACTTTTGATATCATTACTTAACAGCTTAAAGTACAAGGAAATAATCAAAAGAGCGTCGGAGTTGGCAATTTTAAGATAAAAGCAAACATTTAGTAAACTAAAGCTTTTCGTCTGACAATCTTCAGAGTTTAAAACGTCAGAACATAAGCACGAAAAAACCGCTACTGTGTAGACAAAAGGAGTTCGTTTTCACCTTAGGACTCCATTGGTAACATTCTAATAGGCAAGCGGCACTGATTGGTCAACCTTTACAGTCATGTGCTCGTGTTTCTGATTGGCCTATTTCGATCCACAACTGGGCATATATATTTCTTAGCGTAGAGTTTTCGATCTATGTTCTGACGTTTTAAACTCTGAAGAGTGTCAGACGAAAAGCTTTAGTTTACTAAATGTTTGCTTTTTTCAAAGCCATTTACAAGTTTTGTACCACCAAAAGATTGTTTAATTTTAAGATACTTCAACACTGTTCACATTGTTGCCTTAACAAAAAAAATAAGAAATGCATCATTCTTGGCCTTACACTCACATTGCTGAGCTATAACATCGAAAATACTTGAATATGAACTTTGAAAACAGAGCGAATGAAAATGCTGGTACGAAGTGTGAATGTTAACGCTAACAATAGGGTATTGTACCGTTTCAGTTGACCAGTTTCAACATCCATCGTTGCAAACAGGTCGAAAACAGAGTATTGTTAGCTTTATGTTATGTAACCAATATACGTCATATGACTGCAATCAGTGTGAGATAAAGACTGAAAGTTATAACAACAGAAGTTCGATATACAACACTTCGAAAAAATAGCAGCCTAAAGAAAAGAAGCTTGTCAGCAGCAGTTTCCTTGACACTCATTTGGGGCAAATCAAATCTACTTATCTTTATTCAGTCACTTTAAAATCTTAAGAACCTTAGGATCATTTTAGAGAAAACTTAAAATTTTTTAACAAAAACAGAACACTTACTGGTCCTCCATCTTCTTGTCTTTCAGCAAAAGATAAACCTGATAAGCAGTATGTGGTCCCTGAAGCTTCTGACCATTCAACATTTCCTCTTCGAGTTCAAAGATGCTCTAACAAAATTAATTTGAATTAAACAAAACAAATCTAAAGTAATAGCAAACAGTATCGAGGCTATTATCCAGTCAAACTTATCGAACTAAAATGTTACTCTTCGTCTCTAAAGTAATTTCTATACGGATCATAAATTAAATGTGTGCATTTCTTTTTACAGTTGCTTAGTACTTTGGTCTTATAGCATGGAAAAGCAAAGGACATAGCATACTTAAGTACTTTTCGCCCTCGGATAATAAAGCATCGAACAATGACGAAAAGAAAAGCACCGCCTTATTTTAGATTCACAATTTAGTTAAATATTACAAGGCAACCTTTTGGTATTTATCCTATGTTCTTAAATCTGAGGAATGGTAAAATATGTTTCTATGTTACCTCTAAAAACATGCTAAGCTAATACAACTGTAGCGAGCATATATAAATCAAAATATAAAAAAAAATCAAACAGAAATATTTACAGAAATATGAAAATTACAGCATTTTCATCTTTGACAAGGGATTTTCACCAAGCTAACTTTTCACGCACTTTCAAACCGATGAAGCACTGATAGCCCTATGATTCCATTCACAGAGCTATCTCGAGATTCAAAACAATACTTTCATATCTGCAAAAGGAAATGTACCGACCTTTCCTGTTTTGACAAAGGCTTCTGCAACGCGTCTATTTCTTCCACCATAGCATGTCGCTATCAGGTCAGCAATACCACATGACTCTAGAAATGTACTATCAAGTACCTTGTCATAGAATGTTCTAGCAAAAAGCATCATTTCGACCATACCAAGCCTTATTATTGCCGCTTTTGTATTCTCGCCATATCTTGAGAGAAAAATTTAATGTATAAAGAGACATTAATTCTAAAATAGAAAAAAATAAGGCATAAAGAGACATTGATACACATAGGTGAATCGATTCTGTATACAGTCAGTATTGCAGAGATCAAAAAGGAATACAGGATTGTCTTGATAAAGCCATCAGATTTGGATGCAAGAGTTGGGCTTTGATTACAACTAAATGAAAAAGACGACCAAGCAAAAGTGTAGAACTATGAATTTTCCACTTAGTAAAGATTCAAAAAGTGTTATCAGGATTGCACTGAAAATGCCATAAAGGATTTCCAGTCAAGAAATTTTACAGATCATTTGATAAGTTTTTTACTAGACCAACGTTCATAAAAAGTGATGCAAGAAAGTTTAACTACGGTACGTTTTTGCTTCCTTTTAAACGGGCACATATTCTTTACAAATTGAATTGAAAAAGAAGACAAAAACGACCAAGACTTTTATGAGAAGTAAGCCACATCGCAAAACAAACCTTCATATACTGATGGGCAGTGGCATAGCCAGGGTTGGAAGATTGGAGGGGCAAAGGGGAGTGCGATAGCAAGGGTTCCAGGGACTAACCCACAGGAAAAAAATTGCTGGTCACACTCTTAAGAATTCGAGAAAACACCCTATTTAGTAAATTCGTTTGGAAAAGCTAAGATTTTTTTACGTAGTAAGGGTTGGCTAATCAAACACAATAACCGTTATATGTAGCTTTTCGTAGCATGAAGAACGTGAAGGAATTTTCTATATAAACCATAAAAAGAGGGGAAATTCTAAAAAATTCTGTAGAGGTACAGATGAGGGTACTTTGTGCCTAATACGAACAGAAAGTTTTTGCGACCACGCCCTTTAGATTAGCTTAGAAGACATTTCAGAATATTTCTTATAGTCGTTTGCTTGCAGTCTATTAAAATTTCTAATCTTGTTTAAAATACCAACTGTAGGTACTAATTTTATTGCAGATTTGCATTTTTGTCAGACATCAACTTTCTAAGCGTTGCCCCTCCTTGCTAGGCTCCTGGTGATGGGCATAAAGCTCACTATAGTTGCTTAGAGATGCCAAGAAATCAATCAAAAACAGATGTAAAGTGATATCTTTAAGAAAATAAGTAAGAGGGGGCTGGCTGACTTACCCAAGGCCATCAATGACTCCTGCTCCAGTCGCAACAATATTCTAGAGAAAAATAATTCTGAAAAGATATAGTTGATAGATTATGAAAATTACTGTTATCCAGTGCAAAAGGTAGAATGCAGTATAAATGCAGGTCTATAGCAAAAGGAGAATTAGGTTGGATTGCCATAAATGGGTTCTATAGGCAAATTATTCAAAAGCTTCATTGCAGACCACACTCTGTAGATTATCTTAGAATGTTTTATTTTACATGGAAATTATTTAACATGGAATCATGATGTAATGTAGTATCACCTCATATAATCCGTGCATTATTTTGAAAATGTAGGCTTTATAGGTAGATACTCTGTTTTCAATACTAAAAAAATCCTTAAACTAGTGGTAACTATCAACTATAACAACTACCCTCTCTAGCATGACAGGCAATTAAACTCTTAAGCCCCAGTCGAAGTCATCAAACATTTCACTTTCCATAAATCATATTTCACTGCTTGATTTTTTTCAGTATTGTTAATTGGTGGTGAAAGGAAAAACTCTGTGAAATCCTCTGGTCAAAATCAGTAGGGTTCCTGTTTTTAAATTACCAAAACATTGCAAGGGGAAAACAAAGTGAGGATATGAAGAGAGCTTGGCAAATTTTTCAATAAAATAGCTACTTATAACAAAACTGCTGAATTTATTTTGCTGGTATCCCTAGGACTACCATATTAACAGCCTCATTTTTATCAAAATTTATTAGGTGGACACCTACCAGATTAAAATGAGATCAAAGTTTGTGAAAGACCCATCATTTCACAAAACTCATTTTGCTTTTGACCTTCTTCAAATTTTGCCTACCATCATCTAACAAACTCCATGCCAAAAAGTGACCAAACAGGGTCAAATTTCACCCAACATATGTTTTTATGATTTTTTTGTAAAATTCTTGGCTAGTTTGTTCAGGGCTCTATTATTATAATCAAATCTGAGTTTTGGTTTGTTGTCATGGTAATAGATAAAACTATATAATCAATAAGTTTATATGCATATCAGCTCTACATGAAGACATAACATGCAACTTCTGATACATTAATTCAAAATTCTAAGAAAGTACAATTACATAAAGTATGTTTTTTCATAAACTTAAAAAGAAGGCCTAATTTCTATCTTCAAACTTTTCCCTGCTAGAGGATTTACATGCAAATGGAACAAAAAATGTTAAATCAATGTCAGTTTACAGAAGGCGCCATTTTGCATTCTGATTATCTAGATATCTAAAAAACATACTTTGAGAGCACCACACAGTTCCACCGTATGCTCATCTTCTACACATTTAACTTTGAAATAGTCACAATGGAAAAGATTCTTCCACATTTCCCACTGAGATTTATCATTACAGCCTGAAAGAAAAGAGTAGAAATAGGCCTAGCATTTAGAGGGATTGGGAAAATTTGTTTTAGAGGAATTAATAAAATGATACGTAAAACAAAATTTAAAAAACCGGTACAAAGCAAAATTTGTTTCAAAACAAAACAATTAATCAACAGCTGGTAATATATCATGATAATAAATCCTCTGAAATTATAGGAGGCATATCACTACATAGGCCAAAGAAAAATACAGTCAACAAAATTATGATATATTAACATTATTGTGGTACAATGTTCTTGGTTCAGTCAATAGCTAGAATGACATTCAATAAGTTTTCTAGCTTGTTTTCCCATCTTGGAATCATCATTAACATAATGAAAACATTACAAGTCACTAATAAAAAGGGGATACCTATAGTTGCCTCTGTGAATTTTTCATCAGCAACCTCATTTGCAAGATTAGCACCCATAAGTACTCCACACTGCAAACCCAGGCAGTCTTCAATGACTTCTGACATTTGTTTCAAACCAACAGAAGTATGGCTCAAGCCCTATGATTAAGAAAATTGGGGTTGGAATAAAAATAAACTAACAAGCTTTAGAACTACATCCAAAGCTAGCTAAGAAAGTATCAAAAATGAAGAAGAAAAATAAACTCTGATGAATTTGCAACATGGCACAGATTTTAGCAATCATCTCATGCTTCTTGACAAACAAAAAGAAATAATTTTTCACCAATGCAATCTGCCATCTATAAAAAAACTCTCTTTTGCACGAATCGCAGCAATTGGGATGGTCCTTCACTTCAAGGTATTTTTGCTCACACAGACACACAATATGGTCTAAGTACCTGTGCATCTGCAATTTGTCTATTCAATAGCAACAGATCATTCTGAAGTATGAGATAGGAAAATTAAAATCAAAACCTGACACAATGGAAGATTAATTCCAAACTAAAATATGCCATGCCAAACAGTGTACTCTTTATAGCTTCCTCACAAGTTGTTTGCAAATATATACAGAATGAAATGAAATATAGTCTGAGAATCTTCTCGAGTCTTCATATTATAGAAAAGATTTAAGAAATTTTTCATTAAAAAACTCAGTTCTGTATTTGGATGATAAGTATTTTAACAAGGAATATTTTCCAAAACACCAAAAGAGTCCTCTATTACACTAGGCAATTTCTTATACATGTGCACTTTTTCTTGCTTGTTTGCCCCTAAAAGTAGTATATGGCAAATATATAAAAAAAGTTGAATCTTTTCTTTTCCAAAAAAGATATATATATGTAATTAGGTAAACCATCTCCATACTCAAATTACCTGTGTAGAGCACAGATATAAATGATGCTGTTAAAATAAACATAGTGACAAGGAAAAATTCCTTTAGTGTTGAACTGCATGAGGTTGTGAGGTCATCTTCACATCAACTGATTAAATCTACAAATTGACAGGTCTTAACACCTTTTAAAAAGTTATGGTTCTACTGGCAGATATGTATTTCACTGCACATCATTTGTGACATATAAATTATAGCAGGCAACAGCAAATCAAGACACAAACACACACACTCAGCTATGACATATAAAATGAAAACATACCTTAATTAGAGAAATGCCTGTTGCACCCTTCTTTAATGAGCCTTTCATCTGACTGCACATTGGCACTACAAACTGACAGTACCATCATAATTTTATATGTCTGGTCTGATTGGACAGGCTTCAATAGCCTTTATCCTATCATGAATTAACTTTTGCAAGAACTGATTACCACAGAAATTTTAGAAATATACTGCCATATGGAATCAAACTTACCACATATTCAAAGAGTCACTGAAACTGACTCAGTGGTCATATTTTCAAATAAGACAAGTAAGGGGTTAGCATTGCTATATAGTAACATGGAGAGAAGAAAAAGTAATAACATAACAGAAACACCTTGTAACAATCTCAATAAATTGCCTTAAAACTGTCTATCTACCCAACCTGTAGTGTACAACTTAGCTTGGGCCTTCTAAATGTCATTGCTTTGTAAGGTTTGGTAAATATAGAAAGCAATAGCATTCCTTTAAATTATCTCTATAAACAAATAATGTTTTGCCGATAGTTTAAAACAGATAATCATCCAAGATTTTTAAAAAAAATCTGACTGGAAATCTCAAAACATTCCCAACAATAGCAGACTAGGTATCAGCAAAGTGTCTACATATTTTCTAGGCTTGATATTATACCTGTTTGACTTTACATGGTTGTCAAACAAAAGTGATGTTTACCAATGTTCAATAATTTCTTGCACGAGTATTAATAAGCATTAGCAAAATTTGCCTATCATAACTAATATTTAACCTAAACATTTGCGTAGGTTAACCTTTGACTTTTTCTTACATAAAGCTTTCATTAATAGTAAGTGTGACTGAGCAGATTTCTCAATATGAATATTATGGTATATTGTTGTGAATCTGTGCAAAGTTTACCTGATGAGGCATATTGAAAATAATAACATCAGCATCAGAGATGGACTCAGTTAAGTCTGGGACAGCAATCTGCAGAGTAAATAAAACAAACTATAATGTATCAGACAACAGCCATCTCTGAGACTTTTTGTTTAGAAATTAACATACTTTTCATCACAAAACGACAAAAAAATCTTGCCACAGAAGCATAAAAATTCGTAATAATGGAAAGCAAGATACACAAACAGCACATACAACATTTTCTGGCAGCTTGTATCCTGGGAGGTATTTGACATTTTCATGGTCTGTGTTTATGATTTCCGTCAGTTTTCTACCATTCACCATTTCTTCATGGGTGTACATTTTCACTGTCTCCTCGAACATAGCATGCCTCTTTACGTTTGGGCCAACAATCTTTGCAATAGCTGAGCCCCTAAAAACAGCAAAGGCCGGTTAAAGGTTAATCTGGCCCCTTCTATTGAGCTGACAAAGGTAAAAGCCGAAGTGCCTTTCCTAATCAAATAAATTTAACAAAAATATGTCAAAATCTTTTCGACCATTTCATGTTTATCATGTGATCGTAAAAAATTAGACCGACTTGAGTATAAAATGCAAAATTTGTCGATCCTTCTTTCTTAACGCTGTTCTTACCAGTTACCCGATCCAATCATACAGACTCTTTTCTTGCTAGATTCGGCCATCTTTGATGTAGCTGAAAGCAGTCTGGTGTGTTTAAGGCCCAGGAAAGTTGACTTGAAATTGGAACTCCCTGACAACTGTAAACACCACCTCGGCCGCTTTAAAATCGTGGACAATGTCAAATTTGTCCACTCCATGCCCTCTTTCAGGCTACTTTTGCAATCTGCAATAGAACGAGGTTTTTTCTGACCTCGAATGGCTGGCACAAGTCATAGATCAGAAGATAGTGCTTAGATCAGAAAACTTTTTGACACAACTTCCATTTTCAGTACCAAACCATGCAAGACCGATGCAAACAAAACGTGCCAAAGTCACCGAGACACAGGAACACCGAGGCAAAGGGGCCCATTTTTGATCACGTGATCATAATCCAAAAGATGGCCTTTTCCCCTGGCACTTGCAACTGAAACAACGGTAGAAGTGAATTACACTCCCCCAGTGGCTCCGCCACTGGGGGGAATAGGGGGGACCAGTCCCCCCACTTTTTCAGAAAGTTGGTCCTTGAGATTCTTGCAAACCTGATTAGAAATCTTCAGGAAGGGGGGGGGGTATGTACGTTATCTAGATCGTCACATGTAAATGACTTTTCTTGGGAGACAACAGGTGTTTCCTCCAGAAGAAAAAGTTTCAAACAGGGGGAAAGGGCGTGGTCCAAAAGGGCGTTGTCCCTGACACACCTTTTGTCCCCCTCCACTTATTCCAGGCTGGAGCCGCCACTGCACTCCCTTTCAAAAGTATTCGAACGGAAGACATTGTTGCGACTGTGCCGGGTCAAGTTGTTGAAAACAAAAAGAAAAGTTATTAATTGCTCTTTATTTATAGAATGACACTAGGAATCACTTCAAAATTTCAGGCAATCATAAAACAAAGATTAACTTACATAAATTTTCAAATTCAATTCCATAATTCATTTTATTAATGGAATAACTTTAATATTTTGTGGGGATACTCGCGAGACAAAAGGGCAGCACAGGGCCGGCAAGGAAATGACATCTGCAAATTTTCAATAAAATGGATAGGAATATTGGCACAAAATGTCAAAATTTTTATCATTTTATTGCTGCTCGGTCTTTGGAGGATCTCGACTCATGTAAGGCTTTATAGAAGACCAAAGAAGCCATAGCATTTCAGGGCCAGCGAAACGTATTTGAAAGTGGAGGGGCCAAAATATCAAAGTCTTGAAAGGGCTTAGGAAAGGCCGCCACCATGGTTGGCGGAAAGAGAAATTCTAGAATTATGATGCCTTAGGGATGGCCAGAAACTGTATCTAAAATTAATTTTGACTGGAGGTGTCGCATAGTCGCGTATATTGTGATGTTGACTTGAAATATAAAAGTTTTGCAAAGTTTTAGAATAACCACTATCGTATAGCTCATAATGAAACCTTTTTTAGATTTTAAAAGTACCCAAATAAGATGGGGGAGAAAAATAAATGAAACACGGATTAATAAAAAAAATTGACGTTGAAATATCAACGGAAGAACTATCAACTAAAAATAAAAAATTTGAGCAATTTTGTACAGTTAAGATATAGCTTTGTAACATCTGATCTTAACTTCTTCGAAAATTAAGTGCTCTAACAAAAATTTGAAAAACCTTCAAACTGGGCTTGTCAAAATGAGTTTGAATAGAATTTATAATAGTGCCGATACTTTCTTTCTCTTTCTTAGTAGGAATGGATTATCAAAACGATCAAACTCTGAAGTTTTCTTGATGATACTTTTTAAGAACAGATCTGCCCATACTTTATTTCTCATATCCTCAAAAAAGCTCTTTCCAGCTGTTTCTTTTCCTTCAACAGCTGATTTCTCTCTTTTTGTAATGTTTGTAAACCTTGTGTGCCAAGTTTAGGCAATTGAAAAAACGAAACTCCGTCAATTTTTGCTGACACCAAGTTATTCTGGACTAGGTTTCTCGATCTATTTGCTAAGCCAAGCTGTTACTCGTTGTGAAACTTAGACACTGACAGGTTTCTTCGATCTAATTCCCATTTTCAATTTTATGTATGTCTTCTATGGTAAAGGCAACCAAGGTAAAGCTGAGGAATTATTTAAGAGAATACTAGGCAAAGTTACTTACAGAATCATATACAACATTTGTTTCCACTTTTGCTTAAAATTTTTCTTTAGCACTGCAAAAAGTGTGGGGCATTGGATTTGGACTATGAGAAGGCCCTGGAAGAGTGACGATTCAGTTAACAGCAGAAAAATCGCTTGTATCCTTAGTTGTGCGACATGAAGAATTGTCTTGATGAAAAACAAAAGGCTGATTTATGTAACTTTAATTTTTTCTGGCACTTTCGGGAAGGCTTTCTTGGAATATGGCAACATAATATGTGACGTTCACCAAACACCTCCGAAGAACAAGATGGCGACGCCATTAGGCCCAACGCAACCCTAGACCATTTCTAAAAATCCTTCCTTTCCTTACATTTTGTTGAAAGGCCTTTTGATAACATCTTTCCCCAGTTGTTTATCCGGGTTGAGAAGGCTTCAGAATCATTTTTTAAACCAAATCTACCCTCGTTCAAGAAGGCATTATGGCCCCAGTCCGTGCCAGGTCGTTCCTTCGTGACTTTCACTCTGTTTTGCCGGCGAGTGCAGTTATTTGCTGAAAAATCAGGCTTTCTTCTTAGGACACAATTATGATTCCATATTTGATAAAGTATGCATAATTTAGTTCTTTAGCCGATTTTGGTCACAAAACTTCATAGATTTTGCTGATTTTACTCCTTTAAAATTGACAAAAAAGTTTCTTAGGAAACCTTGCTACAATTTTTTGGTTCCAATAAGAAAACTTTTTTGACCTGCCTGTTCTCTACTTTTTCTGCCGTAAACTGCTTTTTTACATGAGTTGCAAATTCTTTGAGTAGTAGACTTCGTGTAGCCCACTTGTTTTGCAATTTCATCATATGAATGACCTACCTGGCGTAAAAACTTTATGACCATTTGCTTCTTATCTTCATCCATATTTTGTGCTTTTACCAGTGCCCAAAGATAAACATTTTTTGCACTTTTGAGAAAAATTTTCTCAGTGAACTTTTTCCAAACAAAATTTTTGCCTGTTTATATATTTATTCTGCTTATTTCCTGACGCCATCTTTTTATTTTTCCCACCATTATTTGATCTTACTTTTTCACTAACATGGCGTTTGTAAAATTTAGGCCCAAAATTTTGCCCAACCGTTCGAATACTTTTGGGAGGGGAGTGTACTTTTTGTGAGAAAAGGGTATTATATAAGCATCAAGGATCATGTTAACATCAGTATGTTAACAAACTAATCTTAAACTAAAGAATAAGACCAGGCAAAAAGACCAGGCAAAATCTATTTTCATTTCAACACCATTTATTAAAAGAAAGCTATTCAATTAAGCGGGCCCATGTCCCTAAGTGCTCTATTATGAAGCAGTGGAGGCGTAAACCACTAGGTTCTTGGGGAGTAGGGGGCAAGGCAAACATTTTCCTGCAACGCCCTTTTACTCACAAGGAAAGGAATGCAAATTTACTTGAAGGAAATGCCTATGATTAACTTTTTGTTAGGTAAGGGTAGTTTCAAAATCATAGGATCACGTCAGAAAAGGTATGTTGCAAAAATATAACCCCCCCTTCAACATTTTCCCATCAAATACTTAAATTGACCCTGTCGTGAACTGGGAGGACATGTTCCTCCTAGTCCCCCATGGCGCCGCTATTGCCCTCAAGTCACTTCATAGTTTCCAATTACTGTATCGGTCACAATACATCCCGTTTCGCAAAATGCAAGTTAAAACTTTTTGGGCGAGCAACAAAAGCCGTGTGATGAATGTTCATTTTACAAAGTGTTTTCATTTCCTTATCTTATATTTAAGAGACGCACCTAAGGTTTCAAGGCATTACTAAATGTCTTTGAGTGAAATGTTCAATAAACCACTTTCCTCAATTCAGGGCCTTTATTGCAGAAAATCTAGAGCCCTACCCTTTTGAAGTAAGTTGAGTTCCTTGGGCTTATCTTCTAGAAAATCTTTGCATACAACGTTTGTTTTATGCTGGATTCTTACCCTACCCTATAAGATCTTAAAAGATAAGCCTATTTTGAAATAGAAAATAAGAAGAAGTAGAGCACGATAACTCTCCAGTAGGATCTGCACATTTGTTGCATTGAAAGTGCAAAAAACAAACACGGAAAAGATAAAGTACCAAAGTATCAAGCTTTGTATCTTGTAGAAGCAAAATCTGCAAGAAGGGACTACTTTGCTTGCTTATATGGTTGTATACGGCCACCCCATGTTTTTAAGTATTTTATTGTAAAAGCCAGGGACGTTGTGGCTAAGCAGGACACCGGGAATAATAATAACTTTCATTTTCGTTGAAATTAAATACTACAATTACCAATTCACTATTACAGGTAATTGGCAATTGGCTATCCTTGGTTTACAGAATAAAAATAAATAACAAGCAAAATTCACATATAGTTATGTATGTAGTTAAAAGCAGAGTAGTTCAGGGTTAGTCCATGCTTTGTTCCTACAGGAAAATATGTAATAGGTGGTACCATTGGATATCATAGAAAGCTTGGAAAAAAGATATTGTTTGTGTTGATCATCGATGGGAAGAAAGTCATACATTGCAAGGAATAATTGGCATTAGTCGCTGAAGATGCCTAGAGAGCTGATGGAGAGACTTACAAATATGACAGATTTGAACCTTTGTCTTAGATCTGAGACAAGGCGAGCGTATTTTAAACGTTTCCTTTCTGCATTGCAGTCAAAGTTAGTTTCAAATCCTATCGTTAGTTCTAAAACATACAAAATGTTTTCCTTTGTCTGCAAAAGTAGATCTGGGCGCAGATTGTCCCCTATTATGAAGGATGGTGAGGAGGACCCAGGTATATCGGCAAAAATAAAGGATCCCTCTATTGCTCTCAACAAGATGGCAAGAAAATTTAGAGCAGAATTATGACGCCAGGTAGAAACGCCCTTACTCCAGATAAACTTTGCAGCCTGAAACGACATGTAGTAATGTTTCAGGAAGAAGTCAGAATTCGCAATCAGATGATTGGCTTAGGTTATAAAGGCTTAGATTCTTGCGCGTAGGGAGAGTATTGTTCAGGTATTTGAAGGTGAAGTTGAAGATGTTCGTAGGTAGGTTGCTCTGCACAATAGATCAAAGGCCATTCAGCTTTTTAAGAGAGTGGTCCAATAGAAATGAGATAATAGCACCCTGGGATAGTAATTGGTGTGCCAAGCGCTCTCTACTGTCTGATTTTACTGCTTTCAGTACACTTTTGGTGTTACGGTAAATTTCATATTGCAGATTCATTCCACTACTGGTGTTTTTCCATAAAGCTTGAATGTTTGTGTTA